GTGTCTCTTCCGAAGAATGATGACAAGCTGTTGTTTTATTGCCCTGCCATTGCTTTGCTCTTGACAATTTTACTGGTTTAGATTTTAAGGGGTTGAATCCTTTTCTTTTTGCACACTTATAGAAGCTCTAATACTCAGTTTTTATGTTCCTTGAAAGTTTACTTTCATACTCTATTTTGTCCCTCTCAGTCAACCTTTGCTACTGCATTGTTTAATTCTAAACTGCTCCCAGTCCTTAAACTTGCCACTTTTTCTAGCAACTTTACATATCTCCTCTTTGATTTTAATACTATTCATAATTTCTTGTTAGCCATGGTTGCGCCACTTTTCCTACTGTGCTCATTTGCCCAAAAGGAACATAACTACTTCTACTAATACACTCATTCCTTTAGTATTAGCCATTATATATCCACAGCCATGCTTTTTAACGAAATTGTCCAGTTTATCAGATCCAACTCACCCGTCATATCTTAATAGTTTCCCTTTGTTTAGATTAACGTTCAATTTGTAAAGATTGAGAATCCAAAAAAGTACTATGTTTTGTTTTAGCTATTAATTCCAAACGCAATTTTTAAATAGAAAACTGTAAATAGCAAATAACTGCAGGCTTAAAAAAAAAGTGGGACTGAAGGAATACAACATTTAAAGGTGTCAGAGAAACTACAAAGTCAACTTGACTGCAATCTCTTGCGATGACAAAGGTAACGAAGGCTGAAGACCTCCTTCTAAGAGTCCTCCTAACATGCATAGGAGAGTTACTTGTGTTGCAGACAAGAATTCTCTAACTTTGAGGGCTGTAGGTCAGTAAACAAAGGACTCTCCCTCTCACCTTGAATACTGGAATTCGATCATTGTCAAAAGGCATCAAGACTGATTGTGAAGTTACTGTTATCCCACCAATGTCCGTGCTACCTCTAGCCTTCACAGTGCTGTAGCAGCTCATGACAGAAGTTGACAAGATGGTTGCCTGGAGCTTTTTTTAAAGCTGACATAAGATGGCCGAAAGGAATTGGCAGCTAAATACAGCAGATGTTCACAGTCAGACTTGTGGTCTCCATAGAAAGATACTGGATAAGATTCTTCATTGGAAGAAACATCAGGGAAGTTAATTAGGTTTCTGTAAACAGGTAGTTCTAAACATAAGAATTTTAATAAGGGACATTTTTGACGGGCCTTGGTTAGCCACAGTCCCAAGCTTGTTATTTATCGAAACGTAGGAAAAGTCCCACTCTACGGTATTCTGAACTTCTTAGTTCATTGTACAATTGGAAATGCAAACTACAAATTAGTGTGTAAAGATTAGTTGCATTCTTTGAGCAAATGCTTATATGCAGTAAAATTTGCTTGCTGCATCATTAGGGAAGATAAAGCAACAAATTATGTATACAGACAATCACTAGGAGAGCAAAGGAGGTTGTAAAGCATGGAGAGATACACAATTGCAGCTCAAATGCAGATTCTTACATCCAAAGATTACAAAATACAGAGTGAAGCTGTGGTTATGTCCCCTAATTATTTGTAGATTCTAAAAAAGTTCATTAATGAGTTAATGAATTGGTAAAGTTGTAAAGTGATTGAATTTCATCCTCAGTGAAATTTGAATAGGTGCTTTCTATTAAGAAAATTAGTAATAGAAAGTGTTTAGGAATAGAACAGTAAAGATTTATTTAAAAGTGAACCTTTAGTTTAAAATTTACTTACAGCATGCAAATAGCCGGTGTTGTAATAATTGCAAATGCACGGCAGAAGGCGGAAATGAGAACGGGGCTATCCCAATCTCCGTGTGTCACAGAATTGTAGTAACTTTACATTAGAACTGATTTTAAAGACTTTACAACAATTAGTAGAAGTTAATATCCTTCCTAATCTTCCACACTATATTTAGAAGAGAATTTGGAAGAGTTCTCAGTGATAAATATTTAGATTATTGGCAAATAATGCAGTGTAGCCGGCAAATATTTCAGATGGTGTGTTAATGTCAGAAGCATTGTAAGATCCCAAAGACAGATGATGGAAGTTTCTGACAAACATGAGATTATGAGGGGACCTAGTGCTGTCCATAGAGCTGTTCGCTGGGGATAGTTAGAGTGACATTGACCTCTCCTCTGATCTGAGCTATGTTAAAGGAGGCAACTGAGCATTATGGGATAGCCAGATATGAAGTGTTCTCTGGCCTCTCTCATTTGTGATAAAGGCTCTAAATAAAGATTGCTTCTACTGCTGAATATAGAACTTAAGACTCCTCTTTGATAGTTCTCCCTACAAGAGTAATGGCCACACTGTTCAAATATCAGCTCTTTGCTGACAATTCATTCGTATACATTTTAAAATTTTTATATTTTTGCACTTGGCTCATTTCTAAACTGTGTGCTTGTGTTGCATTACTAATTGTTATGCTTTGTAATTAATAAACTCACTTTTATTTATGCAAGAAACCCTAGTGCAGGGGTAGGGAACCTTTTTACATTGGAAGACCACATTTTATTTAACCAAGATCCTATTTAGTGCATGCTGAGAATTTAACATATACAAGAAAATGTCATATTTTTGTCAAAATATTTACCAACTTTAATTAAAGCCTGCTATATGAGGACTTTAAACAAAATACAAGTTCAAGTTCAGCAAAGACGCGTGTTTGTTTGGCAAAGTTGACAACAGAACTAATAAGTGAAAAACTTAGACAACAAACCATTTAATACTATGATTGCTTATTGCGAGATAGGAATCAGATACTCAACATCATTGGTTCCAACATCATTGATTGTAGCTTTAATTGGTCCTCCAGGTGAATATCCATCATGAGATCTCAAGTGCGTTTTAATTGGTGTCACATATGAAAATGTTGATTCAAACAGTAGGTTCTGCCAAAACAAGACAACATTCGACGAGCACGTTGACAAAGATGTGGGTATTCAATGGCACTTTTCCATATTTCAATGGGATCCTTTTTAGTGTCAAATAGAGACTTCAGAATATTATCTTGAGAGCTCAATCAATTCCATCTGTAAGCCATCAGGTGCTTTGGAGACATCAACCAGATGTGGTTGAAAAGCTAGTTTCAGTGAGAGATCATGTTTCTCAAAATCTGCAAACCTTTCATTGTGTTCTTCGATCAGGGAGTCGAGAATAGCTACGTATTCTGTTATGTCGCATTTCTTTAATGATCTGTGTGTATCCTGCCGCATTTCTGCAGAAATCCGCTTTTGACAATTCACATGGTTCATTCAGTTCCTCAAAAAATCTTGATTTGTTTTTACAAAGACAAAAGTTTTACAAGTATTTGTCCTTGTTACAACCAGCACACTTTAGAATGATAAGGCAGATCCACACTGAAGGATTCATCATGAAGCATGTTGCGAAAGTGGCAATGCCATGATGCATTTGCGAATGTAGTTTACAATACCTATAACTTTATGCAATGTGTCACTTAAAACAGTAGATTTGGCACAGAGATTCTGTTCATGCAAAAAACAAAGGAAATCAAAGTATCTGGATCTGGCAATTCCTTTGTAGTAATGCAACAAATCCTTCATGTTTTCCTCTCATGGAAGGTGCACTGTGTGCGCATACACTTACTAAATTATATAAATTCAGTTTCGCTTCACGGCATTTTTCTTTGAAGATAGTAAAGGATGTCAATTCCATGTGTCCTCACCGTAAGGGTACCCAAAGCCAGAAACTCCTCATGGTAATGAAAATCCAGTTATAACACTAATAAAAAATAACACCTGTGTTGAGTCAGTAATGTCAGTGGATTCATCCAAGGCAATGTCTTCGCTTTGGCATACTGTATGAAGTCGTTCTGTTACATTGAGGACTAATTCATGTTGCTCATCAGTTATGGTCCTTCTCACCTGCGATAGATGGCTTACCTCTTCTTCCAAGTATATGTGCTTCAGCGACGTCAGTCCCTTGGCCTGACATTGTTTTAAATACTTGCTGCTGTTGCTGTTTTCGATCTTTCATTTTCTTAAGTGCAGACTTTTGGTATTCTCCTTCCAGTTTAGCATATTTGTGGTACTTATGAGTTGCAAAATGCTCATATGTGTTGTATTTCTTCACTGTTATAATTATGGCGTCGCAGCACAAACACATCATTTTATCTTTCACAGCAACTACGTAATACTGCAATTCCCATTCTTCACTGAATACTTTGTTCTCTTCCTTTAATGTTCTTTTAGTTTTTGACATGACTGGGTTACTAGTAAAAATTTTAAAAATGGTACACAGATTTAAAAAGGCGGATTTAGTATTTGCAGACAAATAGGCAGAAGGCCACAACCAGCACCCCAAAAGGCCGCAGGTTCCCCACCCCTGCCCTAGCGAAATTGGCTCCTTTTAAAACATTTGCTTATTTGGGTGTGGGAGATAGATATCCCCAAGAGAAGGAATCCTTTTTAAGTTAACCTTGTTGTAACCACTGAAGGCACAGGTAAATATCAATCCAGAGCCAGCTTATCTTTCCTCACCTGGGAACTTAATCATTTTGGGTACCTCATCTGGAGCCACAAATTGCAGAACCTTGCACCTGTTCTGATCATAACAATGCTGACTGACCTTTTGAGTGTTCCCAATATATTTATGTTGGTTTAGAGCATTTAATGAAACTTCAGGAGAAGAGATCCTGTTTTTCAGTGAACTACACTGTTCAGCCAAATCCATCTGGAGAATAATGCACAATAAATGCTGGCCCAGCCATCGTACCAGGACTCCATGAATGAAAAGAAAACATTATTGGCACTATGTCAGAGCTACCATTACCATAGCAAATGCAATGGCGGCACAAGAGATTGAAATTTCACAAATGAGATTTTCTCAGGTCTTTTTATAACCATTACTGATTACCACTCATACGCAACAATCCTAAATATTTTTGTATATTCTAAATATATTGTATACTTTCAAGAATTAAGCAAGGTAATAAAAGGTTAAGTACAAAAATAAATGGATATGGTTAACAGAAAATTTGACAGTGGGGCTTTATTGGTAGCATTACTAACCACAGCTACTTGTACTTCTCCTCCAGTAGAATACACATCGCCTTCATGGTCGCCATAAAGAAGGAAACGAACTATGCGTCCATAAATTATTGGCATTGTTTTGATAGTTTTAACCTGGAAATACAGACAGACATTCTTTAAGATTGTGTCTTACAAATTAATTCTACAGACGGAAATGAAGACTCAAAGCATTTTCAGCATACGATTGCACATAATGACATGAATTTCATTTAGAAGCACGTTGACACGGTCCAAAAAAAATCTTGCTATATTTGTGCAATGGATTTACTCAGTTTGAACCTGACATCAAGTAAAATGGATCTTCACACACCTAACAATAGTGATATCATCAAGCAGAGTGAGCAGGCAGTTTATTGAAGGATAAAATAAATGATTGGGGCATACACAAGACTAAGCATCGAAAAACATATTTTTAACCATAATAGTGAAATGTGACCTATCCCAAATATCAAATTAGTTTTTCAGAGTCAGGAGGATTGTTCAGTAGCAACAGAACTCAGAACACCAAAGAAAACTGATTTGATTCAATAAGGATTACTTTCAAGTGATTTTACTTGGGAACACAGGAAGAGGACCAGCCATTCAGTCACTCAAGCCTGTTCGACAAATGAGATATAGTCGTAGAGATGTACAGCACCTAAACAGACCCTTCGGTCCAATTTGTCCATGCCAAACATATATCCTAAATTAATCGAGTCCCATTTGCCAGCATTTAGCCTGTATCCCTCTAAACCCTTCCTGTTTACATACCCATCCAGAAGCCTTTTAAATGTTGTAATCGTACCAGCCTCTACCACTCCCTTTGACAGTTCATTCCATACACGCACCACCCTCCGCATGAAGAAGTTAACCCCTCAAGTCCCTTTTAAATCTTCCCCCTACCTCTTACCTTAAACCTATGCCCTCTAGTTTTGGACTCCCCTACCCTGGGGCAAGACTGACTATTCACCCTATCCATGCCTGTGATTTTATAAACCTCTACAACGTCACCCCTCAGCCTGTGACACTCCAGAAAAAATATCCTGTCTATTCAGCCTCTCCCTATAGCTCAAACCTTCCAACCTTAGCAACACCTGTGTAAACTTGAAAAGGTTCAGAAAAGATTTAACAACATCCGTCCTTTAGCAGGGAGACCAGAATTGCACGCAGTATTCCAAAAGCGGCCTAAGCAATGTCCTGTACAGCCGCAACATGACTTCCCAACTCCTATACTCAATGTACTGATCAATAAAGGTAAGCATACCAAATGCCTTCACTACCCTGTCTACCAGCGACTCTGCTTTCAAGGAATCATGAGATCTGTGGCCTGACTTCATGTATTTGCCTTTGGCTCTTATCCCTTTTCTAAACAAAATTTCTGACGTTTAAAATTAACAACTGATCTAGGATCCACTGCTGCTTTCAGAGTGTGTTCCAAACTGTGTGTCTAGAAGTGCTTCCTAATATCTCATGTGGACAGTCTTGCTCTAATTCTGACTATGCTCCCTATTTCTAGAATTCCAAACCAGTGGAAATAGTATATCTTTATCTATTCTGTCTTTTCCTGTTAATATCTTGAATACTTCAATCAGATCACTCCCTTAACCTTCTAATTTCTAGAGAAAACAGGCCTAATTTGTATAAGCTCTCTTCAATTTAACCCCCGAAGTTAGGTATCATTCTTGAAATCCTATGTTGCATTCCCTCTGTGGCTAATATATTCTTGCTAAGGTATGATGCCCAGATTTGTTCACAGAAGTAGTAGGGTCTAATCAGGGTTTTGTATAGCTGCAGAATAACTTCTGCGCCTCGTACTCTGGTTCTCTAGATATAAAGGACAGCAGTTCACAAGTTTTCTTGATTATTTTCCACACCTGTTTGTGACATTTTAAAGATCTACGCACCTGAACCACCAAGTCTCTTTGGACATCCATTGTATTTAATTTCATACTATCCAGAAAGAACCCTGATTTATCCTTATTCGGTCCAAAATTGATAACCTTCAGAAGATTGAGGGGGGGATCTTATAGAAACATATAGAATTATGAAGGGAATAGATAAGATAGAAGTAGAGAGGATGTTTCCACTGGCAGGTGAAGCTAGGACAATAGAGCATAGCCTCAAGATTAGAGGGAGCAGATTTAGGACTGAATTGAGAAGGAATTTCTTCACCCAGAGGGTTGTTAATCTATGGAATTCCTTGCCCAGTGAAGTAGTTGATGCTACTTCAGTAAACGTCTTTAAAGAAAAGGTAGATTTTTTTTGAACAATAAAGGAATTAAGGGTTATGGTGAGAACGCGGGTAAGTGGATCTGAGTCCACGAAAAGATCAGCCATGATCTTATTGAATGGCGGAGCAGGCTCAAAGGGCCAGACGGCCTACTCTTGCTCCTAGTTCTTATGTTCTTAACCTTATCCTTGTTTACATTGTACTCCATCTGCAGTTTTATCCACTCATTCACTCTATCAATACATCGTTGTAATTTCAGGCTATCTACACTGTCTACAATGGCAGCTAAGTTTGTGTCATCAGCAAATTTGGATATATGACTTTCTACTCCACTATCCAAATTAACAGATAATGTAAATAATTGAGGCTGTAACAAAGATCAGGACTTCAGGGATTCAGGAATAGCAATGCTGTTGGATGTCAAGGAGAAACAGAAAATTAATCTAATTTTATAGATTACTGCTGGAATTTGATGAATATCAGTCATTATATTCTCTTGGTTTATAGGCTATTTAGAATGTTTTCAAAATAAAAGCTCAAAAGTGAGTCACTAAAATTTTTAAGCTCAACTTTTTTTCAAGCCTCCACTTTCCTTTCAACCAATTCCTCCTTCATCCCAAAGCTTTTGTTTTTTTTTTGGCATTATATTTCCAGATACAGGTTCCTACTTGACAATTCACTTTTAAATGTTCAACCAAGGTAAGCAGGATCTCAGATGTAAATCTCCTTTAAACCCACATCTTTCCAACACCTAGCACATACTCCCAAACCGGGTCCCACTGGATAATGGTAAGCATCAACTCCAACTCAATTTTGCCTTCATCACTGATAATTAGCCAACACAACTGCAACCACTACAACTGAAATGAGGGATACAAGTGTGCACAGTTAAACATCTTTCTACGTAAATCAAACTGCACAGTCAAGCTTTTATAGAATTAAGAGAAACTCAAATGTTGCTATTGTTCTTCAGAACACCCACTAAGATGCACTTATGAATAGTCAAAAGACAGCACCAAGAGCAAAATTGTCAAAAGAAGCCTGGAATTGGTCAATTATTGGGTCCTCCTAATAAAAATATCTGGAGTCAAAAACAAAAGAAAGCACAAGTTGACTAACCAGACATCATCAAGCATTTTTTTGCGCTGAGGATATGGAAACACCCATTATCAAAGGCACTTTAGAGTTCGGCAATCCAGAGACAAAAGGAAGATCATTTAGCTGGCTAATTTCCATGTATAGTATCAATACTAATATTAATATTCAATGCGCAGAAACTTACCAAGTCTCCTGCTTTGAAGGTCTTGCCATCCCACTCAATACCAGCATATAAAGCCCAAGGACTCTGCATTCTTTTAGATGGTAGATCACTTCTTGTGATTGTCCCTTTATAACAACTGAACTTTATTTGTTTGTCATATTTCTCATGGCATTCTTTAAGCCACATTGCAAACTCTCTGTCTATCTTCATTCTTTGCTCCTGAAAGAGGATTTTATATCACAAATATTACTCATATCAGAATGAAAATGTACAAAGACTGTGAATTAGAAATTACCACCAGTACTAGGCATGATAGAATAGCCTTAGGACACAAAAATTGTTTGATAATACCAAACTTTGGAGGTTACTAGGAGAAAAAGGTTCAAAAACTGGCCTTTAAATGTTGTGTAAAAATTGAAGGTTTGCACAACAGATTTTAAAATTATGAAAGTTATTAGAACAATAAATATTGCACTTTGACACTACTGGTTAGTAGAATTAAAATACGAGAGACGGACCCAGGACGGCATGTTCAAGAATAATGGAGAAATTAGATGAGATATTTTTGCAGCATTCTTATTCTTGTACAGAAGTAGAGATCTCCATCACAGAACAGAAGGCAGAATTTAGGGGCAAAGATACATCTTAAATACCACTTCTAAAATACCATTATATTGGAACTAGGTGCTGGCAAAATATCTGTCAGCCTCCAAAGCACAGGTTGGAGGAAAAAAAAAGCAAAAAGGTTGAGGGGGTAACAATATACTATAAATATCTGGTAAAAGTTTCTATACTTAACTAGCTCTTTGGAGCATCCTCTTACATTGCATTGCTGCACCAAGTCTTCATTAATCCTGGACCATTTTTTCAAATGTTTAGAGTGAATAAATAAGTAGCTTCTCTTGACATCAAATATGTCATTGCTCAATGCTCAATGCTCTGCACTCCTCCAGAAATTTTCTTTTAGAATCAGAATCCCTACAGTGTGGAAACAGGCCCTTCGGCTCAACAAGTCCACACCGACACAAAGAGCATCCCACCCAGACCTATCCCCCTAATCCACACATCCCTGAACACTATGGGCAATTTAGCATGGCCAATCCACCTAACCTGCACATCTTTGGACTGTGGGAAGAAACCGGAGCACCCAGAAGAAACCCATGCAGACCTGGGGAGAACGTGCAAACTCCACAAAGACAGTCGCCCGAGGGTGGAATCGAACCTGGGTTCCTGGCACTGTGAGGCAGCAGTGCTAACCACTGAGCCAATGTGCCACCCAAGCAATTTACTAAGATTACATCTCTTATCATGGCAAACTTTTGCCCAAAGTAAACTATTTTAGCTTGCACACAGCAACTCCATGAAACTCTATTTAATAATCCTTCAAACTAAATGGGCTGTGGATAAATTTAATTTCTTGTATCAAATGATTGATTACCCTGGACAGGGATTGCATTCCCAAGCCAGAGAGGACAGGACTCACAGCTTCTCCTACTGCGATATGAAACTGACTACAGTCAGCTTGCGCATAATTTGGCAGATCTATTGGCTTCGTCAGAGGTGCAGTAAAAAAAAAAACCCCACACAGCCACATAGTAGTTACCACTAGAGTTCCAGCAAAGTAACATCAGAAAGCAGAACCAGATGTGAGGAATTTCGTGGTCAATAAATTTTGGAAATCTTTATCTAAACATACATAGTTTCATAGCCAGAAGGTGTGGGATTTGGATTAAATGGATTGCACATGGCCTTTGCTAAAAAGGGCACTTGAGATGAAAAATATATTACTTATCAATTTAATACTGCTTGATCTTAATGCAATTAAGAAACAGCAGACAGCATGTTCTTCCATAACGAATTAAAACAATTAAACTATTCATAATTTTGTTTTCCTGATTAATTATACACAAATTAGATTTCCATACCTGGCCATTCACAACACGTGTGAAAAGTGTGTTCTTATCCTTCAACTTCAGTTCCAAGTCCATAAATGTCAACTTGTTAGTGCTGACCTGAAATTTATCATTGGTAAAAAGCACCCCCGAGATCCTGTTGAAACATTCCAGTGCCACCAGTCCTCTTTTCTTAGGGGGTGCACAAAACTCAAAACTAGAAAAATAAACATCAAACAGCACTTCAGTAACTGTAACATGCAGAATGTTCTTCCTAACATTGTACTATTTTGCTATTTCATCAGAAGGCTGTAATTAAGATATTTTGATGCTGTGAAGCTATTTGAACCATAACGAGCAATTTGAAACTTCAGTTAGTGAGTGTGCAGATAAACAGTAGATTTAGAAACAGAAGACATACAGACCCTACTGTAAACAGCAACAGAGATGTCAAAGAATGCGAGAGAAATTACTCGTAAGGACGTGTGATTCTAAGGCATAACAGAATTGGCTGTGATGACCTTACATCACCCAAATCTCTTATGAAACTAATGAGTAAGCTCAAAGAAAGGGCTGCACAATCACACTTCAGTAAAATTATTAAGGCAGGAAAAGAAAAGAACAGGCACAAAAGAAATCTGCAAAACAAATAAATGAAATAATTTGCTTAATCTTACTCTTCCACTGTGGTGTAAGGAATCAATCTTCCATTCCAAAAGCATTCAAATATGGGTCTTTTGCCTCTGGCTCCTTTATCAACAGAATAACAGTCTTCCTCATCATCTTCAATAGTATCTTAAAACAGACAAAAATGGAAAATATTTAAAAGATTCAAAATATTAGTTGTAGTACTGTAATTCTTTTTCCTGTCATTCTCCTGCTGCTACTAATATTCTAATGTACTTGTTACAAAAGTTACTTATAGGTTGAACAAATTTAATGTACATTTGCAGTTAGAAAAAACACAATTCACTTATGAATCCAAGAGTTTATAATTAGGTTCAACACTCAAAATGACAGATAAGCATTTTTGCAACTTCACGAAAAGAAGAAATGTCAATATCATGAGTGTTTACAACAATCTTTAACATGGCTAAGGACAGAATGGGTGCTGTCCACTAATTTGGATTTCTCTACGCTGATCATTCACAAATGTCTAATCATTTCAGTATACTCAAGAACTGTCAACAGATTTTTGGTATCAAAGGAATCAAGGATATGGAGATAGACAGGAATGGGATCAGTGTGAATAGTGAAATGGGCTTCATGGGCCAATTTGGGAGTGAGTTAGCTCAATTGACTGGATGGCTTGTTTGCAATGCAGAGTGACACCAACAGTGAAGCTCTACTTCTCAATTTCAACCAATGTCTGAGGCTGCATGACCTCCAGCTTAAACTTACTATCAGTCATCTCCTTCTAATGAAAGAGCAGCCCTATGCTCCTGCAGAACTTTCTCTTTACGTACTCCTAATTATAATCTTATAAAACTTAAGTTATAACATAAGTTCAGTATGCCTTACTTTGAGTGGTTAAAGTGAAGTTCTGCAATGGTAAAAGGAGAATTGTTGACTGTATACTGGTGGTCTCAGATTTTGAGATTAATATCACAAGAAACAAATTAGCATTGTACACTTGTACCACAGATGCTGAGAACAGAACTCAGATGGTCGTGGTGGAAGTTGGAAAAAGACAATAAAATGCCAAACGTCAGAAGTATGCTTACTGAATGTACAGCTAACGTCTTCAGGATAGGTTTCTTTGTCGTACAGGAATGGATGATACCGTATTACTCCTTCAACAACACCTTCTCCTTCTACATGCGCTTTAAATTCAAAGCAGTCTGCAGCTGTGTTGATGAAGAGTGTCTGCATGTCATCTTTTATTTCCCTTAAATTCACAATCTTAGGGACTTTTCCCTTCTCAAACATTGAGATCTAACACAAAGACATGAAAAAAACATTAAAATGAAACCACGCCAATAATTAAGCAAGTCACATCATCTGATCTGCATATAACAGAACAAGTCCATTTAATATACACAGTTCTTTACTACAACTTTCCTTAATTTTAAAATATTTAATTAGAGATATTGGGGATAAATCAGGAGAATAAGGGGAAGCCCTTTAAAATTTACGAAGCTGCAACTGACTGAATGACCTACCAGTCAATTTCACTCTCAGAGCCAAAAACTAGCAGAGTGGAGAGTGTTGAAAAAAAATGTATTTAGTTTGTTTGGGTACAACTTATTGCTGATATCAGCATTTGCTTTTATTGGTCTTCCTATAATAAATATAGTTCTAATCACAATTATGGTGCAGGATGAAACCAAAGTACAAAGTTTTCATATCTTCAAGGGAAAACAATCAAAATAGGTGAGTACTCAAACATCTGGTAACAAATGACTGATATTCCCCATTTGATTAAAAAGACAAGACAAATCCAACCAAGATACTGTAAAAATTGAACTTTTTACAATTAGATTTTCATTTTAACTAAACTAACATTCCGACTAAAGCAGTTTCTAAAAGTTATAGTGATGATGTTGCATTATCAGGATCTGTTTTAAAACTACTGATTCTAAAGAAATACAACAAATTCTGAGAGAGAAGGCAGAGCCCGTGTTCCCTATCCCTACCAATGACATAGCGTAAAGAGTAATGAGTTCCTGCAGAAAACTTTCAGGGAATTTGGAAAAAGATTGGCAAGACCGCAAAAGAAGTAATTTCCAGATCAGTCTTGGTGCCATCTACTCCCGAGTACCGACATTGGTGGATAAAGCAGATTAACGCAGGTGTGAGAGTGTGCACATGTGCATGTGGGCAGGTGGAAGAAGGAGATTGAGACAAAGGAAGGTGGAAAAATTTAAGAGAATGTCACATTTGGCAAATTTGATTTAAGATGTTGGAGAGGCAACCAGGAATAATGGAAGCAATGCTTCTGATGTGGTCTACCTGGACTTAGCAGGGATTTGATAAGGTCCGTCATGGCATTCTGATTAAGAAAGGAGGAGCCCATGGGACCCAAGGCACATTGGATCCAAAATTGGCAGAGAAGCAGAAGGCAGATAGTGACAGAAGAGGCAGGCTTCTGTGACTGGAATTCTGTTTCCATTGGGATTCTGCAAGATTTGATTTTGGGCCCCAATCTGAATGTGATGCACATTAATGACTTGGACTTAAATGTACTGGGTATAATCAAGAAGTCGACTGACAACACAAGAATTTATGCAGTGGTAAACAGAAAGTAGGATAGTCATAACTGCAATGGAATCGTCAGCTGAGCAGAGCAATGGGAAATGAAATTCAGCCCAGAGAACAGAGGGGTTTAGGAGCAGTAACAAACAAGGCAAGGGATTACACAGTGAATGGTAGGACCATGGCAAATACTGAAGATAAAAACAGACTTTGGACATGCATGTCCAGAGATCTTTGAAGGAAGATCATATTGGTAGGGTGGTTAAGGCAGCATCTGGAATACTTACCTTTATTAGCGGAGACACAGAATACAAGAGCAAGAAGGTTATGCTGGTTAGGATACAACTGGCGTAGTGTGTGTAGTTCTGTTCACAATATAGGCTGTATGTGATTGTACTAGAGAAGATGGAGGAGATTTATCAGGATGCTGCCTAGGCTGAAGGGTGTAAGCTATGAGGAAAGATTGGATTGGCTGGGATGTTTTCCTTGGAGCAGTGAAGGTTGAGAAGGGATTTGACAGAGGTGTACAACTGAGGGGCACAGATAGGGTGGACAGGAAAACAGTAGAGGGGTCAATAACCAGGAAGCATAGATTTAAGGTAAGAGATAGAAGGTGTTATGAACAGAGGTCGATCCCTCTCCGCAACTCCAATAACTGAAACTGAAGCACCCAGAGAAGCTTGCCCTGCCTCAATCTGTTAAAGGAAGTCTGAACAGTGGTATAACCTGACTCTCATCTCCCAATGTTATAAATGGGAGGTTAAATGAAATGAACTCTTGACAGTCACTCTATTATCAAGTAACAATTTATTTATCTAACAGTGAACAAATTAACAGAACTAACAAACCGAACAACTACCCCCTTAACTACCAACTATTCCCGAATAAAACAAATTCTAATGGGATGCTGTTCCAATAAACACAAGTTCCACTTATATAAACCAAATTAATAAATAAAAACTTAAAACTTAATCTCCTGCAATTACAGCCAGGATGCGTCTTCTGGAACGCTCCGCGCCCTCTCTGCTGATGCTCAGTCCGGAATGCCTTTCCCTGAATTCTTGTGTCATGGATATTAGCTAAGAGTGCTGCTGTACCTTTAGTCAGACAATGGTTTTCTGAGTGCTTAGCGAATTCTGAGAGCCGGTGATTTCTCTTTAGAGCTTCTGGTTAACTTTAACAGATGACAGTTGCTCACATCAATTTGCAAATACCCTCTTCTTTTATACCCTTGATGATCTATCATTTTTTTTCAATAGGATTGGTCCTAGGTTGTCAAAACCATCAGATTTAAATTTAAATGGTTTTAGTCTCTAAGTGCCTTGTTTAAATTAGTTGGCTGATATTCAAACTGGTTACCTTAATAACAAAACAAAACTACAGCCTGGGTTGCTAACCATACAGCCTTTTGATACAAATGTTTCAATTTCAGGAACTTTGTGCCTGCTGCTACTTGCAGACAATTTTTTAAATCTCCAAGCCTAGAAAAAACACCATCTTTTTAAAGGGGCCATGCATTCTTCCCCACCATCACTTTACAAACAAATTCTGAAGTCCTGCTTTCCAATCCACAAGTACTCTACCCAACTTTGTGACAAGGGCTACAAGGGAAGTTGAGGAGAATTGTTTCACCTAGAGGGTGCTGGGAGTCTGGAACCCATTGCCTGGAAGGGTGGTTGTGTCAGAATCTCGTGTAACATTTGAGCAGTACTTAGACATTTCACATGCATTGCCATTGCCTCCAAGGCTATGGGAAAAGAACTGGAAAATGGAATTTGCAGAGTCAGATCTTGTTAACCCATTTAGACATAATAGGCCAAGGGCCTCTTGTGCTGTAAACATCAGACTGCACAGAAAGGGACTGGCTCTGGAGAACGCAAGGCCTGCACAGGCTAAATAAGTTGCACCTAAACAGGTAATGTTCTGCTGAAGAGTTTGCTGGTATTGAGAGATAAAGTCAAATTGTCAGAAGCCTAGGAAACATAATTCGGAACAATAAACAAGGGCATAAAGGGTTGGAAGAAACATACAGCAGGAGTCTAAGAAACATTAATGTATTAGATGTAATAAGACTTTAGGAAATGCAATACATTCTAAATTAAGTTATTGGAAATTGTACATAAAATTTGATAAAGTACAGTGCAAATATAACCATATTGGAATAAGATGCTGCAACAATAAAGGCTGGATGGGATACTAAATATCCCAAGATATCATGTGTTCAGGAACGGAATGAAGAGGGTTGCTCATAATGATCGAAAATATTACAGCATCGGAAGAGAGATAATGCTCTAGAGGGGCCGTGGACTGAATCTATTTGGCTAGAATTAAAAAGAACAGAAATATCATTACACTAATAAGTATAAGGGGAAGACAGCAGCTCTGTCTAATGTCACCAGACTAGTAACCTAGAGGCTTAATTTAATGCTCTGAGAACAAGTGTTCACATCCCACCACGGAATTTAATTTGCATTAATAAATCCAGAATTGAAAGCTTGTCCCAGCAATGGAAAATGCAAAACTATATTTGAATGTCATAAAAGTTCATCCTGTTCATTGAGGAAATCTGCTGTCCTTATCCTGTCTGGTACATATGACTCCAGACCCACAGCAGTGTAGCTGAAAAACAATTTCTTGATCACAATGGGTTCCAGCCCAGCAAGGAAGGACATATTGTTGGATCTGGTTCTGGAGAATGAAGTGGGACAAGTGAATCAAGAATCAGTTGAGGACCATTTAGGGAACAGCAATCATAGAATGAGGTTTAGTTTAGCCACGGAAAAGGAGCAATCTAAAATAAAGATACTAACGTGGTCAGAATGGATCTGTCGTAAGTGAACAGGAATTACAGACTGGTAGGAAAAACCTCGACAGAACAATGCCTTTAAAGAACACATTGTCCAGGTAAAATTGAGGTACATGGCCACAAGCGGAAGAGTTACAGCAAGCCAAGTCTGAGTTTCAAGGATGATAAAAGGGAGAGTTGAAGCAGAAAAAAGTGCATGCGACAGATATCAAGCTGACAATAAAAACAAGAGAGAGAGAGAGTCTGAATATACAATGTTCAGAGAGGAATAAGAAAAAATAAACAAATAAGAGAAACAAAGAAAGGGACCAAAACTGACTCAAGCTGTAACTGACAATAAACATAAAAAGAAATTCATAGGTCCTCTCTATCATATAAACAGTAGAAGTATGGTGAGATGACGGTTGAAGCTGATTAAGGACCAAAAACAGGATCCATACATAGAACATAGAACATTACAGCGCAGTACAGGCCCTTCGGCCCTCGATGTTGCGCCGACCTGTGAAACCAATCTGAAGCCTATCTAACCTACACTATTCCATTATCATCATATGTTTATCCAATGACCATTTAAATGGCCTTAAAGTTGGCGAGTCTACTACTTTTGCAGGCAGGGCATTCCACGCCCTTACTACGCTGAGTAAAGAACCTACCTCTGACATCTGTCCTATATCTATCACCCCGCAATTTAAAGCTACGTCCCCTCGTGCTAGCCATCACCATCCGAGGAAAAAGGCTCCCACTGTCCACCCTATCTAATCCTCTGATCATACATGAAGGTAAAGGCATCGCTGAGATACTAAATTACTGTTTTATTTATCTAACCAAAGAAGGGAATGCTACAGAAGTCAGTCAGAAATGGCAGCAAGCTAAACCAACAAAACAACGACTGTACTTAAAGTTGATCACCTGAACTAAATACGCTGCACCCAAGGATGCGGAGGCAATCAAGGGAGTAAACTATAGAGATACTGGTCCTAATCTTTCAATCCTTCTTGGATACAGAAGTGATGCTACAAAATTGAAGTATTGTAAATATTTAAGCCTTAAACTTTTACGAACAAGGGGAAGTCCACCAACAGAGTTTTTGGTGGGGAAGTTTTTAGAAACGATAATGCAGGAAAAATTAAGTCACTTGTTCAACTGTGGATTAATCATGGAAAGCTAGTACAGTTTTGCTGAAGGTAAATTGTGCTTAATTAATTGGAGTTTTTTTAATGACTTAACAAAGCCAGCTGATTTTGTATATATAGACTTCAAAGGTTTTGGTAAAATGTTACATAATAGTCTTGCAACAAAATAATATCTGGAAAATGGACTTCCTGAGGTGTTTTTGCAGGCATCCTAACATGCGTGGTCCCTTTCTGTGCTGTAACCATTCTATGATTCTATGAATTGATTTTACTTAATGTCCTTGACATTCTAGATTCAGAAATTCTTCCAAGACTGACTCTGCTCTCTTCATAATCAAAAATTAGCAAACACTGACTTAATATAGGCTTTTAATATGAAGTAATAGGCTAATTTAAAAAAATCTACCTACTTGTTTGAAATAAAAATAAATGCCATTGAAGCAAAATGCGGTCAAAAATGTGGCCGAAGACGTGATTGGAAAAATTAAGAATGACAGGTTTTAAATGTGCTATTCAACTATGAAAATGAAGTCACAATAGTTTTTTTGCAATGAACCTATAAAATATTTTTCTGTCAAGTTAATAAGCATCCAAACACCTCACCTCATTCCAGACTTTTATGTAAATCCCCCTCATCACATTTCAACCTTCCTTCAGTTCTAAAGAGTCATTTTCAACTAGAAATATTAACCTCGTTTCACTGCATTTAAATGCTGCCAGATTTACATAGAAATATAGAAGATAGGAGCAGGAGGAGATTTGGCCTTTTGAACCTGCTCCACCATTCATCACGATCATGGCTTATCGTCCAACTCGGTAGCCTAATCCTGCTTCCTCCCCATAACATTTGATCCCATTTGCCCCAAGTGCTATATCTAGCTGCCTCTTGAATACATTCAATGTTTTTGCATCAACTACTTCCTGTGGTAATGAATTCCACAGGCTCACCACTCTTTGGGTGAAGAAACGTCTCATCTGTTCTAAATAATCTCACCGAATCCTCCCTGCATCTACCCTGTCTAGTCCTGTTAGAATTTTATAAGTCTCTGAGATTCCCCCTCATTCATCTGAACTCCAGCAAAAAACAATCCTAACCTAGTCAATCTCTCCTCATACATCAGTCCCACCATCCCTGGAATCAGCTTGGTAAACCTTCGCAGCACTCCCAACAGCAAGAGCATCCTTCCTCAGAAAAGGCAGCCAAAACTGCACACAATATTCTAGGTGTGGCCTCAAAGGCCCTTTATAACTACAACAACACATCCCTGCTCCTATATCCTCAATCTCTCGCCATGAAGGCCAACATACCATTTGCCCTCTTTACCACCTGCTGCATCTGCATACTTACCTTCAGCGACTGGTGCACAAGGACATCCAGGTCCCGCTGCACATTTCCTTCTTCCAATTTACAGCCATTCAGGTAGTAATATGACTTCTTGCTTTTGCTTCTAAAGTGAATAATCTCACATTTATCCAAATTATACTGCATCTGCCATTGATCTGCCCACTCACCCAACCTGTCCAAATCATGCTGAAGGAGCTCTGCATTCTCGTCACAGTTCACTCTCCCACCCAACTTGGTAGGATCTGCAAACTTGATGTTACATTTTGTTCTTCCATACAAATCATTAATGTATCTTGTGGAGATAGTAGGAACTGCTGATGCTGGAGAATCTGAGATAACAAGGTGTAAAGCTGGATGAACACAGCAGGCCAGGCAGCATCAGGGGAGCGAGAAAGCTGACGTTTCGGGTCTGGATCCGAAATCATTTCTAAAGAAGGGTCCAGATCCCAAACGTCAGCTTTCCTGCTCCTCTGATGCTGCCTGGCCTGCTGTGTTCATCCAGCTCTACATCTTGTTATCCCAATATATTTTGTGAATAGCTGGGATCCCAGCACCAATCCTTGTGGCACTCCACTAGTTACTGCCTGCCAAATTGAAAAGGACCCATTAATTCCTCTCTGCCAACCAGTTTTCTATCTGTCTCAATGCACTTCCCCCAATCCCACGTGCTCTAATCTTGCAATAATCTCTTATGCGGGACATTGTCAAACACTTTTTGCAAGTCCAAATATACCACATCGACTGGCTCCCCCTTGTCAACTCTACTAGTTACATCATCATAGAATTCCAACAGATTTGTCAAGCTTTATCTCCCCTTCATAAATCCATGCTGTCTCTGTCTAATCCTGCCACTGCTTTTTAAATGCTCCGCTATAAAGTCCTTGATAATGGAATTGAGAATTTTCCACACTACCGATGTTAGGCTTACTGGTCTATAATTCCCTTTTTAACATTAGCGTGACATTAGCTACCCTCCAACCAGCAGGGGCGGTTCCTCAGCCTATAGAATTCTGGAAGATGACTACCAATGCATCCACTATTTTTAGAGCCACTTCCTTAAGTACCCTAGGATGTATATTATCAGGCTTAGATTTGCTTAGTTTTTTAAAACAAATTAGAATACAGGCATCACTAACTAGGCCATCATTTACTGCCCATCCCCAATTCCTCTGAAAACTATGGTGATGATGTGTGTTTCTTAAACAGCTGTAGCCCTTGGGTGTAGGGACACCCAGTGCTTTCTGCTTGTATTGCAGATTTCCCACATTCATAGTCTTTTGTTTTAATTTAAGCATTTAAGGAAACTGCATGAAAATTAATGTTATAATATTACCTCAATATCAATGTTGTTAAAGGGTCCTACTTCTTTAGTAGCTGTCATATCATTTCCTTTAGGTCCATGAATGTAGTAATGGTATATGTGGCTAAAAACGAAGCAAACATATTGAAGTATTTCATGAAGTTGAAACAAACAGTAATTTTAAAATCGGAATGCTAACGTACATAATTCATGCAAAATAAATAGCTCAACAAACTGTCCAAAAAAATACCATGCCATGAGTTCAGTTTGCTTAAGAATTCAGCCCCTTAGCTAGTCCTTCAGAATTTTTTGCCAAAGAATTAGGTGATGTATCAAGCTGTAGCAAACCTTTACTTTAAAAAAACGATAATGTGTAAAGAAGCAATTGTCACCAATTTAAAACTGATACAGACAGTGGTTGCAAACAATCTTTTCTTCGCCTACATTTTCCATGAGCTAGAAAATTTATATCTGGTAATACTCAGAACGTTTATCGATGACTCAAAATACTTCTCAAAGTACATGATAGTTTTGTTTAAGGTTTAAAGTGTTACCCATCTCAACAGAAACATCCTATTTTGGCTTTCGGTATTGGTCCAGAAAGAAAGTTAACTGATTACATTTCGGATGGGTACCCACAATTATGCCTATCTCTTTGTGGGCTAAGTGGAACATTCCTTATTCTAGTCCCACTCAGGTACCCATCCACAACTCTTTCTCCTGTTCATTGATGACATCATTGGTGCTGCTTCATCCGGAATTGGAATCAACTTTGCTTCCAATTCCATCCCATTCTCACTGTGAGCTCCTCCATCTGACTCCTCCCTTCCCCTCCTCAACATCGGTTTCCATTTCTGGGGATAGAATGGCCATCAATATCCACTACAAACCCACCAACTCCCAGTTACTTTGTCTATACATTATACATCCTCACACACTGCTTCCTGTAAAGTCTTTGTTCCATTCTCCCAGTTTCTCCATCTCATCTCCAATGAAGGGCCCTTCTACAAAGGGGCCTCTGAAATGTCCACCTTCTTCCTCAACTGAGAATTCCCCACTACTGTGGTTGACCCATCTCCCGCACTTGGGCCCTCACCCCTTCTCTCCCCTCCCACAGCAACACTAGAGTCCCCCGGGCCTCAATTACTATCCCACTAGCACCCACATCAAAAGGATTATTTTCTGCCATTTCCACCGGATGCCATATGACACACAGTCCCCTTCCAAAGGGACTATTCCCTCCAGGATACCTTGGTCCACTCCTCCCCCACTCCCAACACCTTCCCGCATCCCCAAGGCATCTTTCCTTGCAACCGCAGAAGGCATTACACCTGCCTATTTACTTCCTCCCTCCTCTCTACCTAAGGCTCCCACCTTCCAGATTAAGCAGCAATTTACTTTAATAATTGTACTTTCTTCAAACTAGTCTACTGTATTTACTGCTCACAATGTGGGCACACTGAGGAGACAAAACTCAGACCAGGCGACCGCTTTGCAGAAGACTTACACTGTCTGCAAAAATGACCCTGAGCTTCCTGTTGCCTGCCACCACCTTGTTCTCTGGCCAACACCGCTGTCTCAGGTTTGCTGCAGTGTTCCAGTAAAGATCAATGCAAACTGGAAGAACAGCAGCTCTTTTTCCCCTCAGGAAGCCTGGAGACTTCTGGACTCTGTATCGAGTTCAATAATTTTGGCCCCAATCACCTTGTCCCACGTGCTTACTGCAGCTCCCCACCATCAGCAGGCCTTGTCATCACCTGGGCTATGACCGCAACCAACCCATGGTCAACTAATAATGGTCTCCATTAATAGCTATTCATGCTCCCAGGCTGACTTACCTATTCCTTTGTCTGCCCTACTGTGGATCTATCCCCGAGCTTCATCTCCACTTATTGTTTACTCCTCCCCCATTCCCCCACCCCAATTTTTCCTCGCTAAAATCACTTCTGTAGAAATGTCAATGGTCCCAAAACCTTAATTCTGCTTTCTCTCCACAGATGTTGCCAGACCTGCTAAGTCTTTTTATCTCTGAAATTTCCGTTTCTATTTCTGATTTCTAGCAACCTCAGTTCTTTGGGGATTTTTAGTCACGTTGTAAACTATTTGCTCACACAAAAATAAAATGTATCTAGTTAGTAAAGGTAGGAAATTATTGTCCCACACACAATAATCCATAAAATACATTGGGACATCCTACTATTAAAACTTAAATAACTACATTTCAAATTTTTACGTTTTACTCTACAGGTATTCCAACCTAACGAGTCCTTTTGGAAAGTACTTTACAACTATTGGCTTCAAACATTTCAGTCTACTTAACATGGTCCAGAAAAAGTGTTCATAGATTACACTATAAATATAGGTCACCTATAGCTGCAATTAGAAAGTCATATCAAGACCTATGGTTTGCAACAATGAAGTGTTGATAAATTTTTATTTTAAGATGAACAGTTGTCACTCACGCCAACTGTCTGGTCCACAGGTGAAAGTAATTTTTTAGGTACTGCACATGGGCCTGCTGAACTCCTGTGATTATTACTGCAGTAAAACTTTCCTTGTCTTTTTCTTCCACAATGAGACTGTGGAGGAATCGTTCATCTTCACTGGTGATGTGCATTGAATCGGTGGCCTATTTTAAAAAATACACAACATTTTGTAAAAGAAAGTTTTATGAATGTGAAATATTTTAGAACTATAATCTCGAAACACAGTCACTACATTTGTTTAACAGTCTAACCTATATATCCTGTACCTGGAAACAATATTTCATGTACAAAAACTCCTTATTACTTCTGCTTCAGTGTAATTTAAATTCAACTCCAGTTTGTCATAATAGACCCACCTGAGGTTATTTTAAATTAAACAGTTACATACAGCCAGGCAAATTATGCAACTGCATTAGAATTCAATTCTGTCCATCTTCAGTAGAAACTTGGTATCACGTTATACAGATTTATCAATCGGAAAACTTCAATCCATACATTTTAAACAGATTTCAAACATAAATCGGGAGTGTTAAGTTACACTGAAAACACTGAACAGAATTTATCTCATTAATTCTAAATTAAAAACCTCAAGAAAGACTAAGCATATTACCTTTCTATTTCTGATGAATCCACTATATATTGCCTCTTTATTTTTTTCCTTCTTTTCAAAATCATCTTTAGAAAGCATTAATTCATGTACATCTTGAGATTCAGCTGGTTTGGTTATCATCTATAGAAAAACACAAAAAGTACATGCAGACAGAAACAAAACAAATACTGCACCATGTAATGTATCAAGTAAATAATTATTTCCTTTAAAATTAATAGACACCTTAAATTTCAGCGCAGAAATGGCTTATTTATGTAATTGGCTTGTGATACTAGCAGTAATGATTTTCTAAAACTTTATTTAATTAAACTGCTACAGAAACAAAAAGATTTACTGAGATACTGATCTACAAATTGTACAGACTGTTCTTTATATTCAAGATTTTCTACATAACTGTACACTATTTTTGCTCTCCATTCTACTGATTCTTAAGTTAATCTGTAGTTGACTAAACCTTTATTGAATTGAAACACTTATTCCAAGGGCTATGAATTTTGAAACTTACTCTAGTTGATTGGCCAATGAAGAAAACTGCTTGCTTCCCACCAACACCGAAATAAGAAATGTCACTATTGAGACTGCGAGGCACCATGGGTGGACGGACATATCCTGAATGATCACTGAGGAAATAATATTCATATATTTTATACATAATAAAGATCAAGCTCAGTTTGCTTTTCACTTGAACTTTGATACAACTGGGTGCCCTTCTATGCCATTTCAAATGGCACTTAGGAGTTAGCTACATTGCTGTGGCTCTGAAGTCACATGTAGGACAGATCAGGTAAGGATAGCAGTGACCCACATGAATTTTTATAACAATCCTGCAGTTTCACAATTATTATTACTAGTATTGTACTAACTATTTGAATTTAAATTAGTCCAGGCAAATTTGAATCCATATTAATTCATGTCTATAATGGACAATTTAACATGGCCAGTCTACCTAACCGGCACAGGATGAGGTTACCAGAAGGACTCTTTCTCAACACTGACCCTCGCCTGAGACATGGTGACCCTCAATCACTGCCAGTTGTCTCTCTCTAATTACAGCAGTTCTATGGTCTGGTGTGACAACGGTGATCTTATCTTTACCCATTGATTCACTGTTTCAGGCAAGACATGTCAAACTGAAGTTTTGGTAGCCTGTCCTAAAGGTGTTTTAGTATTTGTATTATTTTTCGTAATAAAACAAACAAACATTCTTGTTTTATTATGAAATATTCTTTAATTTTTAAACAAAAATAAACATGTCAGAAGTTTCCAGTACAAATAAGTGTTGCAATATAGCGGTGGAATATAGTGAAGATATGGATTGATGAACATAATTCTCAAAAATGTCACTGAACTGCAACTCAGCTTACTGAGAAAAGAGATTGGAGGCTAGTTGCTTCATCTGGGAGTAAAGAAGTTACAAGGATATCTGGGAAACACTCAATATAATCCAAAATAAGTGGCATTAAATCAATGTCAAGATAAAAGACATTGAACTATCAAAAAACAAACATGCCCAATCCATACAAAGCTTAAAGCACATCCCCCACCAAGCCCTTGATAGTAATAGTGTAGAAAGCAGGCAAGTTTAGAACTAGCGTTCTTCAACAAAAGAAGTCCATTTGTAGCCTTGCATTGAAAAGGTCTCAGGGTAAAAGTGATCACGTGGCTTAATTTTGGACTGGGTTTAATAGTTTGACTTAACTGTTGATTTGATCCATCTAGATGGAGAAACTTGATTAAAAGGTATGACAATGGCCAGTATTTAGAGTTAATTCAAAAATTCTAAATGTTGTCAAAAACAAGTGGAAAAGATCATTTTTTCATGACTAACCAGAGAAGGCAAAGGTAGTGACAAAAACAGAATTGCTGTGAAAACTCAGCAGCTCTGGCAGCATCTTTGGAAATAAGGCAGAGTTAACTTTTTGGGTACAATAATCCTTCTTCAGAACAGGCAAAGACAGTATCAGATTAAAGAGAAAGACTGATAAGGCAGTAACAGAGAAGAAAAGGTTGGGAAGAATTTAGAATTAAATAGATGGTAAATATTTAATACAAAAGGAAATTGAGAGCAAAACAAGAGTGAACCAAAAATAAGTTTGCAAAAGCCATCATGTGAAAAAGGAAGAGAGTAACAAGAATAAATATGTGTCCCTTAGATGCTAAGAAAAAAAAGAAAACTATTTGTGGGGAATAAGGGAGTGGTCAAGATATTAAACTAGTGCTTCATATTTACTGTCACAAAACATTCCCATAGTGGGAAACTAAGGGTCTAGTGAAAAATACTTAGTTTTAAAATAAGCTCTGGAGAAATTAATGGCACTAAAAGTTTATAAATCCCTTGGACCCAAGGACCTTTATTTTAGGGTTTGAGAAGAGCTGGCTACAAGGATAATGGACAAACTGATTTTCATCTTCCTGAATTCCCAAGACTGTATAACAGTCCCTATGATTGCAAGATAACAAAGAAATTCATTGCGTACGAAAGGGAGAGGGCAGAATAGCAGAACTAGTTAATTAGTATGACATCAGATTTAGAGAAAATGTTAGAAATAATTAGAGGTCCTGGGGGGTATCAGACTACTTAAATCTTAATATAGATGGGTGGTGTCAATGTAGATTTGTGACAGGGATAACATTTGACCTCTCAAGTTTTTGAGATTGTAATTAGCAGAGTTTATGAGGAGGAAATTGTGAAAATATTTAAATTTGTAAAAAATATTCGATAAGAATGTCAGAAAGAGGTTATTGGAGGATTTGAATGAGCATGTTTACATCCAGGAAACAAACCTTTCAATGTCATCATCCGTTCTGGTGAACTTGGAAAGTCGATACACAGCCCAGTTATTAAGTTGCTTAGATGTCATTCCCCTCCCATTGTCAATTACAGCTACAGCTGGTTTACCTTGTGATTCATCAAACAACTAAAAAGGAAAAATAGATCATTAGAATTGAATTCAGTGAAAAATCTGCAAAGCATCAAAAGTAGACAAATAGTATTAGTCAGTTTCTCATGGTATCATGTACAAGAGTTTAAGACCAAAAGCAAATTGCAGGAGAGACAGGTTTGGACATTGAATTATTACAATCTTGAGATCAATCCCCACATGTATTTCTATCAATATTACAGGAAGTATACTCGCTCTTCTGAAGAATAATTTGTTATTAAGTCTGCAGATGTTGCCATGTACTCTTGAAAACTTTTCCACCATACTCTCTATTCTTATTTTCATATTTCCATTATAAATGCCTACATCCACATTTTTATTGGAAGTTGTCTCCATTAACTCATCATTCTGTTATTGGACCTCTCTCCTAATTGCTGCAGCATTTCAATATGCAGGAGTGTACAATTCCAGTATTAGAAGTAATTACAGGCAGTTTCCATTATAATGTGGATCTCGGAAGTGATAAGTGAGGAGGTTTACAGGAAGTACACAATATTATATTTGAATATAATATATTACATTACTCACCAGTCGGACCTGTATATTACGAATTCCTTTGTTATTGGCTGTTGCGGATAAGGAATTATCTATCAGCTCAGCGAAGGCAAATGCTGTTTATTGAAAATAAATGGTTATTGGTGCTTGGTCTCTCTTTAGTAAAGCTACATTCCAATCAGAGTAGTTCAAGTTCTAATCAAGCTAGATCGAATACTCTCAATTCAGAATTATTACTCAAAATTAAATGGTGCAAGGTATATACTTACGCAATGGAGTCTGTCCTTCACTGGCATAGTATTCATACATTCCACTTTTAACCAACGTATCATAGTGAGGAAGAAAGTCAATTCGCTCCCTGGTAGCCGAGGGCAATGTTTGGTCGACTGAGTTAAGTATATACAAGGTAACGCCATCTTTGACACATTTATCTAAGTTTGAAAAAGAACACAAAACAGTTTGATATATTCCCAAAAAATACATCGCAACTTAAAATTATATGTATGGCAAAAAAAAGGAAAGCCGTTACTCCAACAGTGAATCCAAATATTTTCTTATTCAAATATCATTAAGATATGTAATCAAAACTATAAGACAGAAATCTACAAAAAAAAGAGGCAAAACAATCTGTGCAAAACATTTTGTTCGAGCATTATCTTAATATGCAATATGCTATTAAATTAGCATATTGTAAAAGATAATGTAAAACTACTCGAAGATGTCAATCACAATATGCTTAACAACTTTCAGAAAGACGTGATTCAAAAATAAAACAATATTGGAGAACTTCATTTGCTATATATTCAAAGTAAACATAGCTGGCTACTTTTTTTTTAAAAAAGTCTTTCTGACCATATGTCTTACCATGACAGAGGTTGGAGGAGTACATCATTATAGTCCTGCTATTCCATGGATCACAACATAAAAAGAAAAATACTCTTCCTAGTTACCAAGCTGCCAATTAAACACCTAAGCTATATACAGCTTTTAAACAAAAATATAATCAACCATGCTCTTTTTAAAAATATATTAATGAATATAATTGCTTTTGTAAAGAAACTTAATCAATGAAAATGCAATACATAGTTAAAATACACAACCAGTAATGTTGAAGTATAAATGTCTATTCCTCTACATAACCCAAAACAGACACACTTCAGCTAAACAAAAAATTCAGTTTTCCCTATCCAAACTTCACTTTAAAAAAGAACCAATTCTGGCTGTTAGGGCTAACTTAAAGGCAGAAAGGATAAGGCAAAAGACAGATAAATCTGATGTCTGTCACGTGATCAATGCAAACAGAGCTTACTCAGGAAATACAATATTGAGATATTCATCCGACTACTATTTCAGAGGAAAAATAGATTTCATGCTGAATTCAGCAGAAGTGTTCTTCTGTGCGGACCCCGAGCACTGTGTGGCAGCGACTTCCAGAACCAGAAGTCAATGCTGCAATTTGTGTTGGCAGGCTGATTGCCATGCGCAGAACCTCTGAGCAGCTATGTACACACACAGATGAAGGAGATCATGGTCCCAGCATCATGACAAATATGATGGTTTAACATAGCTACCAAAAATCCCAATTAGTCTTTGAATGACTGCTTTCAGGAGACAGAAAACTCACATTAAGATCCCTCAGTAAGAAGTGAAAGCTATTTATTGTGACATTTTAACAAAACAGTAAAAGATTTCTAATTTATGAAACTTAAACTCTACCCTATTTAAAACTCCTACACAGATATATATGAATGGAGGGGAAAACAAAATGGTTAGGAGTGTTGTGTATCACCAATCCAAAAATCACAAAACTAGATCAGTTGGGTTTTGCATTATCAAAACATCATGGCATCACTGAAGTTATCCACACAGTGACGATCAATCTTTAGTTCACCAGTTGCTTGGTTGGACCCAGGATCCTTCTTGTCCCTTCAGGTTTTAGAATTATTTCTTTCATTGTCTCAGTGTAGTCTTTCAGCTCTTTCCGCAGAAAATTAGAGATAACAACTTTACCAAAAGGAGGAAGGGGAAAAGGTGAAGCTAATGTCAGGTGGCTTCCTTGCTTCACTTTGTCTAATTCACTCTACTCACAGCCTATGTTAAACTGCAACCCGATCAATCAATAGGTTGTTGCCATGCTGAGTTCTCCTGAACCTATCACAAACGTTGTTATTTTGTTTGGACTCAACGTCCCTAAAAAAAATGTAACTGTTTCATATGCACGTTAGCTTCACTCACCTTCCCAAAATTACAAATATTTCCTTGTACTTTTTCTCCTTTTAAGCAATGTCCATTTTTCTCAGTTTCAGTCCATAGTCCAAAAAAGTAGTCTCTCTTACAGCATAAAACTTGAAATCGATCATCCTTTTCCACAATCTTTCAAAATCTAAGTCCTCCAAAAATATTAACTACGATGATTCACCAGTCTTTAGATACTTACTTGAAAAAACTACATTAGTTTTGAATAAAGTATTGCGTGGTTTATGTGCAAGGAATTAGTATGAGCACAAGATATCATTGCAATATCTGTTACTTGCAGTTGCTACGTTCTCTCACTTAGACCGGTTATATCAGACATTAAAGCATTCAATACAGCAAGGTCATCATACATGATAATGAATTGTACTCAGTCAGGCAGCTAGATGAAAGACGCAATGTTACATAAAATCCAATCAGAGCATTCAAACAAACTTACCAAAGTTTTGACTTTTAATTTCTTTCCTATTTGTTGTTGTAATTACAAAATTATTTCCTGTAGTAATGTCAAAAGCCTGAAAAAAAAACAATAGCCACATTCAGCACACAAATAGCCAGCTTTGCTTCAAAGTTTCTTCAGTCATCCAAGGACATTTTGTGGGAAACCTCACAACCTTTATATTGTAGCTGGATAAGCCTTGAATGTTATGACACTTCAAATGCTGTGTGTCAACTGCAGTTTCAGAGTAGCTTTAGTCGGTACAGACTCAATGGGCCATGGGCCAAAGGGCCTCTTCATTACTATTCTATCAACTGCACCTTCCACACATCAAAGATGTAACCTTGTTTGACAGTTCAATGAAAATTGTGTTAATCATGCACATGCATGGTCACTCTTATCCTATCAATTTTTTTTTTTTTTTTTTTTTTTTTAAAAAGGCAGTGGCATAGGTAAATGTGTGGGTCAAAGACTGGCGCAGCACCAATGGGTTCCGATTCACGTGGCATGAGCACCAGTATTAAGAAAAGTCAGAGCTGTTCCACTGGCATGGGTTTCATAAGGTAGGCGACAGCCGAGTAGTATTATTACTGGCTTGTAAATCCAGAGACCCACGTAATGCTCTGGGGACCTAGGTTCAAATCCCAGCATGTCATAGAGTCTGAGAGTCATAGAATTCCTGCAGTGTGGAACCAGGCCATTTGGCCCATCAAGTCCACACCATCCCTCGAAATAGCATCGTACCCAGACCCACTCTATTCCTGCATCTCCCCCCTAGACACTATAGGCAATTTAGCCTAGCCAAGCCACCTAACCTGCACAACTTTGCACTGTGGAGGAAACTGGAGCATCTGGAGGAAACCCACCCAGATACGGAGAGAATGTGCAAACTCCACATAGCCAGTCGTCCAAGGCTGGAATCGAACCCGGGTCCCTGGCGCTGTGAGGCAGCAGTGCTAATCATGGAGGTGCTCCAATGTCAGGTGATGGAATTTGAATTCAATAAAAATCTGGAGTTAACAGTCCGAAGAATTCATTGTTGATTGTCAGAAAAATACACCTGGGTCACTGATGTACTTCAGGGAAGGAGACTGCCGCCCTTACCTGGACGAGCCGACATATAACGCCAGACATACAGAAACGTGGTTAACACTTAACTTCCCTCCAGGCACTAAGGTTTTGGAGTAGATTTGTAGGATACGAAGGAAAACTGGAAGTGAGGCAATCCATCTCAACAGACCCCAGAGTTTAAAAACCAGATGGGAAAACACACCGACACTTCATCAGAAGCTGCACTGAGGATGTTACCCAGCATGGTAACGAACCATCTGCGAAACAAGAAACCAGCTCGGCGAGCCAACCAACCTCAATTCCCTCTGGGCAATTAGAGATGGGCAATAAATGCTGGCCTAGCCAGCGATGTCCTCACCCCATGAATGAATATTTTAAAATAAACACTGAACCTTTCCACCATTTATATAAATGATTTGGATGTGAACATAGAAGGTATGGTTACACATGCAGATGACACCAAAATTGGAGATGTAGCAGGCAACAAAGGTGGTTACCTCAGAGTACAACAGGACCTTGACTGGATGGGCCAATGGGGCGAGGAGTGACACGTGGGGTTTAATTTAGATAAATGTGCATTTTGGAAAGGCAAATCACGGCAGGGCTTATACAATTAATGGTAAGGTCCTGGAGAGTGTTGCTGAACAAAGAGACCTTGGAGTTGCAGGTAGATAGGATAGTGAAGGCGGCAATTAGTATGCTTGCCTTTATTGGTCAGTGCATTGAGTATAGCAGTTGGGAAGTCATGTTGTGGCTGTACGGGGCATTGATTAGGCCACTTTTGGAATATAGCATGCAATTCTGGTCTCCCTCCTAAAGGATGTTGTGAGAGTTGAAATAGTCCAGAAAAGATTTACAAGGTTCAGAAGGGTTGAGCTATAGGGAGAGAGTGAATAGGCTAGGGCTATCCTTCTTGAAGCGTCAGAGGCTAAGGGGTGACTTTACGGGGGTTTATAAAATCATGAGGGGCATGGATGGGGGAAATAGACAAGATCTTTTCCCCGGGGTGGAGGAGTCCAAAACCAGAGGACATAGGTTTAAGGTGAGGGTGGGTTAAGATTTAAAAGGGACCTAAGGTACAACTTTTTCACACAGAGGGTAGTATGTGTATGGAATGAGCTGCCAGAGGAAGTGGTGGAGGCTGGTACAATTACAATATTTAAAAAGGCATCTGGATAGGTGTATGAACAGAAAGAGTTTAGAGGGATATGTGCCAAATGGGATTAGATTTATTTAGGATACCTGGTTGGCATGGAAGAGTTAGACCGAAGGTTCTGTGCTTTACATCTCTATGACTCTATATAACTAGGATTGTGCTAATTAACCTAATTAGTGTTGAGGGAGGAGGGGTTTTCATTAAAACTTCCCTTCAAAAAAAATCAAAAAATTCAGAGAGCAGAAGCGCAGGATAGTGAAGAGGATAATTGAAGTGAAGCAGGAAAGGGTTGAAAATACACGCAAAGAAAGATTAGTTAAATATAGAGAAACTCAAAAATGCAGCACAGAGGGATCAGGGTATTCTTGTGCATGACACAAAACATTAGCATGTGGGTAATGCAAGTGGTTAAGGAGGCAAATGAAAATTTGGGGTATACTGTTAAGGTTTTGGAGTTTAAATATAGGGAAGTCTTGTTACAACTATACAGTGTGTTCGTGAGATGTACTTGGCGTATGTTGTGTATACTTTTGGTCCTATATTTAAGGAAGGATATACTCACATTAGGGCAGTTCAAGAGGGGTTAACTAGGCTGATTTCTGGAATTTAGGATTGACCTTATTGAAACAGAGAAGACTTCAGGGTAGCTGTTCAGAAGACAGCTCCACCAGTGGGAAAATCTCAAAGTTGAGGGTACAGTTACAGATTTAGTGAACATTCATCTAAAATTGAGGTGAGAAGAAATTTCTTTTCCCAGAGCAAAAAGTGAATGCCTGGAACTTTCGAACCCAGAAAGTTGAGGAGGCAGATCACGAAGTATTTAAAGGAGGTGGATAGATGTTTAAACTATCATGGAACTAACAGTACAAATGACAAATTGAGGCCTGGGACAGAGCAGCCACAATTTTGTTGAACAACAGAGCAGGCTCGAGGGGCCAAATGACCTACTCCTGGTTCTACTTCTTGCACTCTTATGCAAGTGTTTACAAAATGCTGGATTCAGGCAATGCCTGCTAAGGTTTTCCAATTCCACACGATGCTCAGGGCCACACCATTGCACCTGTCCAATGAGACATCTTTTAAACCACCTTATCTACCTGTCTCACTCCCTTTATGATCCAGTGGACACGCACATAAGCTCTTTCTGATCCTCAGTGCGTTCCAAGGTCCTACCATTCATCATGCATGTCCTCGTTTGTCCTTTCCAAAGGCATTACCTCACACTTATCTGAATTGAATTCCATCTGCAACTGATCAGCCCATCTGACCAGCTCTCTACATCATCTTGTAAACTCATGCCATCCTTCAATGATATGCTACCCTACCAATGTCCTCATCACCAGCAATCAGCAAACTGTTTGATCAACCCTCCTACGTTCAAGTCTAAAGTATTATATATATGACAAACAAGGGCCCCCAACACAGATTCCAATTGAACCAAACTGGACATAGGGTTCTAGTTACAAAAACACCCCTCACCCATCACCCTCTGCTTCCTGCCACTCAGCCAATTCTGGGTTCAATTAGCCAAATTTTCTTGAATACAGGGGCTCTTACATTTGCAGTGTCCCCTGCAAGACCTTATCAGAAGCCTTTAAGTCCGATAGATAACATAAAATTGCCTCCTCTGCACACCCGGCTACCTCTACAAAAAAATTCAATGAAGTTGATTAGACATGACCTTCCACTAATGAAACCATGCTGACTTGATTAATGCCTACCTCTCCAACTGCATATTAATTCAGTCCCTCATAATTGCTTCCAACAATCTCCCCACCACTGAGGTTATTTTGACTACACCGTAGTTTAACGGTTCATCACTTGCTCCCTTATTAAACACAGCACTTTACTTGGGCCCTCTCCCCTCCGTAATGGCTTGATCCATTTTCAGCAACCTTCCCCCCCCCCCCCCCCCAATAATGGAGTTCCTATCCCCCATTCCCAACCCGCCAAAATCTATCCATTGAAACCACCGCCCCCGTGTCCCCACCCCCTCACCGTTACGCTGTCACAACTCCTCGTACATGGCTTGCCCCCACCGAATTATCTGTCCACCACCCCCATCCCTCCCTCACTTATCTCCCCATCCACCACCTGTGCCCCTTCTCCTTCCCTCTCCCCGGCCCTCTACCCCTATCTTCTGTCCCGCTGCCTCCATCAGCCCCTCAACCCATTCTCCCCTCCGCCGCCAAGCACACTGCTCCTTCTCCTTTCCCCAGCTGCACCAGACCCCTTCGCCTCCCCCCCCGCATATTCCCCTTTTCTCTTCCACGCTCCCTCGCCCGCGGCTCCGGGCTCCAGTTTCCCCTCCACCTCCTCACCCGACACACGGCGCTCTTGAACTCGGCGAACGTAGTCCAGCTGCTGAGGTCTAGACATTTCTCGAGCGAGTCTCCCAGGCGGCGGTCGAAGACGAAGACCACCTTTTTGTTGCTGTCTTTGTCGGCGCTGGTGACGGCCGGCGGGAGCTGCTGTTCGGCTGCCATTTTGGGGCAGGTCGCGCGGACAAACCAGGACCGGATGTGACTGCAGACACGGTCGCGTCACTTCCGCTCCGTCCAGGTCACGGCGCCGTGTTGCTGGTCGTGTCATTTCAGCTCCGCTCGAGGTGACTCTTTTCACCCGAGCCCGGCAACTTTGTCCCGGGAGAAATCCGTCGGCCTCTTCCTGAGTGTTCAGGCGGACGACTGCCTGAAAAGCCCCCGGGATGGTTTACGGTTGGCCCTGTGTGATTTCAGACAAGCGTTGAGGCAAGGTGAGCACAACATTCAGTGAAAATGGTTCTTGAGGGCAACGTGGCATTCGTACACTCGCTGCATATATTTGTCTATTTTCCATACATCAGCCGTTCAACGTGAGGCACATTTTATTTGTATGCAGTGGGAAAGTGGTCTCTGCCCCTCGATCTCCCTAGCATCCACTTGCGCAGTGGCAGCGCTCCTGAAATGTTGAGTAAACTTCTGGTCATCTACATTGTTGTCATCAGGGATCAAAAATAATGATGAGGTAATAAATATATGAAGGTAAGTAAGAAAAATATTCAAAAGAGTCTCACCTTCTTTATAAGATACCTGTGAAGCTGCTCGTACCTATTCCTGACTACAGATGTGCCATCATGGTATGCCAAGTTCGTCTGTTTTACACCATCTTTACATACGCACCGTAATTCATCTGCGAATACTTTGTGCGGAGCTGGATGAACACAGCAGGCCAGGCAGCATCAGAGGAGCAGAAACATTTTCCGGAGGGAGGAGGGTAACTTCTTCAAGGTAGGCATCCTTAGAAGAGGCTTCGCAGTGAGTTTAAAACTCATTCAGAGACAGTAGGAACTGCCGATGCTGAAGTCCAAGACAACAAGGTGTGGAGCTGGATGAACACAGCAGGCCAGCCAGCAACTGATACTGCCTGGTCTGCTGTGTTCATCCAGCTCCCCATCCTGTTGTCTCGGACTCCAGCATCGGCAGTTCCTACTATCTCTGTCCGACTACTTAGTGTCGTCCGTCAACTGTGCCTAGGTCAACCCATCTTGCTGCTTCCGTCCACTTTTCCTTCTGGAGATGACCTCTGTCACCTTTCAGCTCCAATCAAATGACCCAAATGCTGACATTTTCTTTTCAGGATGTGACCTTTCAACAGTTGATTTTGCAATTGCAATTTCAAGTAACCCTTCGTTTGTTTTATGGTCTCTGTATGGATTTATTAGCATACAGCTTAGCATCTACATTTGTGGCCTCTCTTTCATAAATCTTCACTTACTGCCCATATTTCTGAGACATACAGAAAAGTAGATAGAATGTAGCAATTTTGGGATTTTTTTCCCTTGTTACAAGCTTGAGTTTTCTAGTTGTTAACACATTCTTCATCTTCACAAAATTACTTTTGTCAGTCCCCATCCTTCTAGCACTGCATTTTATCTGCTATCTTCTGCCATTTGGGCACTGATTCATTTGGACCTTCACTAGGGTTCATGTTGAAATCCTCAGAAAAAGGTAAGATGGTGTGATAGAGGAGTGGCTTTTGAAGAAAAGGAAGAGGGATGGTTTTCAGTGCATGCCCTCATTTCTGATGTCAGGTCCCTTTATCAGACCCAATACTGACAAGATTTCCTTGACAACCTCTCTGCGTCAATTACCTACTCACATGCTTCAAATTAGTGTCTGAATCAGCCTTTCCATCTCAGACTCATGATTGGGGGAGAAACCCATACCCTTCTGCCTCATCAGAAACTTCCGCATCTCTGCACTTGCCTCCAGAGAAACCTGAAATGATGTCCATGCAGAAGGTTGTTTCTTTTCTTTTTCTTTCCCTTCCAACATAGTTTTGCAGATACACAAAGATAACAATCAAACAGAATCAAGACAAGTGTCTGGCAAAAGTTAATGAATAGTATCAAGTATGAGATAACCTGCAGGACGACCACAAGGCAAAATGAGAGATAGGAAGAAGTTTTACCTTGGCTACCTGTGGCTTGATGATTGGACAATGATATCAACAAGTAATTGACGTAGAGCACTCCTCAGCCTCTAGAAATAAGGTATACAAAGAGGTGCTCAAGAAAAAGACAAATCACTTTAAAGTGATCTATGCTGGCTTCAGCCTAACATTAACACTGGCTAGTTCCTGAAGACAGAGAACAGAAAAAAATGCCATTTATGAAGATGGTAATCAGCTTCATCCATCATCTGTTTGTCTAATCTTAGATCAGTAAATTTCCCTTTCCCAGGAGATTACTGCTGCCATACATGAGTACCGTACTCTTACTGTAAGCATCAGTTCTCGAATAGTAACTCTATAAAACTCCAAAGTATTTGCAGACACTTTAAAGAGGAAACAATTCTTTAAAATTTCCTTGAGTGCAGTTTAAGGAACATGCCTTTTAACTGTATATTAATACTTGTTTTTTCAGAGGATAAATGACCTGCTCCTGGCTTACTTCTGCTACTATGTTCCTGTCTTCCTATGTCCCTACCTTGCATCACACTGGGATTAAAATTTATAAACAACAATATTTTGAGCAATGGGTGAAGCTAGCTGTTCCATGTTGTTGTTAATGCATAACAACATGCTGCTGTTAAATCAAAAAATGTTCTGCCTATCACATAAATGAGTAATGTAATATATGTTTCAATGTCAGTGTGATGCTATGTATTTTGGCCATATGTTCTAAAGACTGGCAATCGTTACAACTTGCATATACGCTTCTCAAAGAGCAAGGTATTGACCGTAACCAATCAGCAGGTGCTTGCAGAACTCAAAAGATATAACCACATTAAATGTGATTGGACAGCATTTGATAAATAATCACAAGTGTGCTAAGAATTACACTGACAACCAATTTAAACATTTATCTAATTGTATTCAATTGTGTGCTGATGCTGAGCATTAACTGAGAATTAAATGGCTCCAATAAATAAAACAACTGACTGAAACTGACATTTGGTTGCAGTGATGCATGTTTGTAATGTGCCTCTTTGTGAATAAATTCTATGAAAGTGTATGAAGTTACCTCCAGTGCTTTTCTTTCCTACGTATACCCCAGCACCTCAAATACCAGTCTTCAGCCAATTCAATTCACTCCATGTGACATCAGAAAACAGCTGGAAGCATTGGATGCCACAAAGGCTATGGTCCTGGCAAAATTCTAGCAATAGTCCTGATGACTTATGTTCTGTAACTTGCCTGACACTAAGCAAACCTTTTCCTGTGCAGTAACAACACTGGCATTTATCTGATAAGATGAAAAATTGCCTGAGCATGTCCTGTGCACAAAAAACAGGACAAATCCATCCTGACCAATTATTATTCCATCAGTTTACTCTCGATTATCAGTAAAATGATGGAAGGTGTTATCCACAGTGTTATCAGGCAGCACCCGCTCAGCAGTAACCTGTTTGCAGATGCTCAGTTTGTGTTCTGCCAGGGCTTCATTATAGCCTTAGTTCAAACATAGACAAAAGAGCTGAATTTCAGAGGTGAGGTGAGAGTGACCGCCTTTGACATCAAAGCCACATTTGACCAAGTATGATATCAAGTGCTAGCAAAACTGGAGTAAATGGGAATCAAGCAAATCTCTCCACTGGTTGTTGCCATACCTGTGCAAAGTAAGATGGTTGTGGTTTTTGGAGGTCAGTTATCTTAGTTCCAGGATAGCTGTGCAGGATTTCCTCAGGGAAGTGGCCTGGGTCCAATCATCTTGAGCTGCTTCATCAATTACTTCTCTATCATAAGAATAGATGTGGGATGTTTGCTGATGATTGCTCAGATTCTGAAGCATTCATGTCCAAATACAGCAAGTCCTGGACAATATCCAGGTTTATCTGTCATGTGGCAAGTAACATTCACCACACATGTCAGGCAATAATGATTTGCAACAAAAAATAATTAAACCATTACCTGTGACATTCAGTGAAATGACGATTACTGATTCTCCCACTATCAATATCATGAGAGTTACCATTCACCAGAAACCAAGCTAGCCATATAAACATTGTGGCTACAAGATCAAGTCAGATGTTATGAATCCTGCAGTAACTCATTTCTTGACCATCCAAAGCCTGTCCACCATCTGCAAGGCACAAGTTAGGACTGTGGTGGAATAGTCTCCACTCACCTCAAGTGCAGCTCCAACAACACACAAGAAGCTTGACACCATTCAGGAGAAAGCAGCCTGCTTTGTTAGTACCACATCCACAGAGATTTACTCCCAACACTACCAATACTTGGTATCAGCAATGTGCCCCATCTAAAAAATGCACTGCAGAAATTCAGCAAGGCTTCAAAGATATCATTTTCACATCCACAGCTGCAATAATTTAGAAGGACAAGGGCAGCAAATACAGGGGAATGCCACTGCATTTAAGTTCGCCTTGAATCCACTAATCATGCTGCCCTGGAAATAAATTTTCCTTCCTTTACTATCTGTCTCTGGGTCAAAGCCAAAGAAATTCCTCCCTACTGGCATTATGGATGTACCTACACCAAATGGATTTCAATGGTTCAATTAGGTAGCTCACCTTCTCAAAGGCAAGTGGACAAATTCTGGCCAGCCGGTGACATGCACATCCCAAGAGTGAATATAAAAAATACCTGAGAGATGGATGCCCGCCAGTTGGATAAGAGTATAAGTTTGGACCTTGTTCAAAAATAAGAACTCTTAATAAATAATTTCTTTTGGATTATATATAACTCTTACGGAATTGGCTGGTGCAGCATTGATTTTATCTCACTGGAAAAATATAAGCAATTCCAAATTCAGGGACCAAGACAAGGTGGAGATAAAAGTCACAAAGACTGTCTTCCCAGTATGAGGTCATTACATTTTCATACTGACATCAGGGAGTGTTTTAGTGTTCCATGTATCCTCTTTATCCATGGAAGTGTGTAAAAAAGGCCAGGAAATGTCCATCAGTTTGAAGTAAATTTAAAAGATGACCTCAATTTGAGTGATGAACAAGGAGAGAGGTGACCATCCTAACTTGCCTACCTATTCCATATTCATCCAAATGATTAATGGGGTAAGTTACCAGCCCCTAAATTAAAATGTATTAATAAGTGCAAAAACAGAATTTGCTTGTAAAACTCAGCAGGTCTGACAGCATCTGTAGAGAGAAAGCAGCGTTAACATTTTGGGCCCAGTGACTCTTCTTAGGAAACAGTAGGTGAAGCCAAGTGGGACCTTATTGCTGTTGTGGGAGGAAAGAGGGGAGTGAGAGCTGAAGTTGGGGAGATGGGTTGGACCTGGCTCAGGGCCCTGTCAATGATGAATCCCTGATTGACGAGGAAGGTGAATATTTTGGATACCCCCCTTGTTGAAGTTGGTATCATCAGAACAGATGCGAAGGAGACAGAGGAACTGGGAGAATGGAATAGAGTCTTTACAGGAAGTAGTGTGAGGATGTATAGTTGACAGCACCCTTAGCTGGCTCTATCCTATTTTTAGCTGTTAGTGGTCCCCATTAGCAGCCATTCAATCTCCTAGGCTGACTATTACCCACTCCTTTGTCCAACTATTCTCTGTCTTTGGGCTGTAACTCCACTCATCATTTACTCCTTAACCCCTTCCCCCACACTACCGGCTGCATAAAAACCAATTCTTTCCTAGCTAGCAACAGTTCTGAAGAAGGATCACTGGACAGAAACATTAACTCTGATTTCTCTCCATAGATGCTGTCAGACCTGCTGAGCCTTTCCAGCAATTTCCATCTTTGTTTCTTCGAATAGCAGTTCCTTTTGTAAAACAGGCTCAAAACGCATCAACCCTTTTTGGTTTCGAAAAAGCTTTTCTTTCCAACACTTCGCACTAGTAAGGTAAATCCTCAACCTTTTCTCTATGACACCTTTGTTGAATGAACACTGTCCCACAGAGAATGTTTATCTATAAAATGTTCTATGGGCAAAGTTTTCTTAGATTGTCCCTTGTGTAAGATTTGCTTCATCATATCAGGTGAATACACCCATATCTAGTGCTTCTACCTTTGCCAGTGTTTCAGCAACAAAGGTACTTTTAACTACCACATTTATTTTCTTGGCATCCCAGGCCAATGAGAATGTGGGTCTATTTGCTTGGAAGCAATTGACAACTCCTAAGTAAGATTGTTGATCAGAGTCACTCTGACCTGTTCCACTTGATATACATAACCCTACATATTGAAAGGCTCTAGAAACTTGACGACCAATCTTATACTTCTCATCGAAGTTTCTCATGGAAAATAATCCTGTATCCAAGGTACAAGTAGATCAGTTAAGAAGACTAATTGTTCAGTTGAACTGGTTGCACTCAGACTAGACTCAATTTTAAACTTCTTTTTATTTTAATTATCACACCTCGTTGGAATTCTGCAGAACCTCCTGACAGAAAACCATTAATGTGCACAAAAAAAGATTTCTGCCAGTTTCTACCTATGATAATAAAATGTTACTGGGTCTGTTTCAAGCTGAATGCAACCTACTTTCAGCAAGATGAACCTAACTGAGAAATACCATAACTTTGATGCATTATCCAATCCATAAACACATTCAACTAACTTTCATGGCTTCCCTCATATATATGTGTGTATAGGTTTAAAAGGGGGTTAGAATTTTAGCCAATAGAGTTATAGGTCAACAGTTTGTGGTTGTTTTCCTGTAGTTAGAATCTATTTATTTGTAATAAATAATAGTTCATCTCAAGCACAGAAACCTGGTCTGTGCTTTCTGTCAACCTGGTTCTGAAGAGACAGATTAATTATGGAATTTTGAATACTTTGATAAAATCTTTAATTTTTGTGATGATTCTGGAATAGCAGCACTGGATTTCCAGCGTGCTTCCACAATGAGATGTGACACCCTGACTTTACCCAGATATTTAATCTCATTCTCGGATGTTAACGTCACTAGAGGTTTTGAGTTATAAGGAGAAGCTGGATAGGCTGGGACTTCTTTCCCTGGAGTGAAAAGGCTGAGGGGTGACCTTATAGAGTTTTATAAAATCATGAGGGGCATGGATAGGATGAATAGCCAAGATCTTTTTCTCAGGGTAGGGGAGTCCAAACTTCGTGGGCATAGGTTTAAGGTGAGAGGGCAAAGATTTATAAGGAATCTGAAGGGCAACTTCTTCAACACAGAGGGTGGTGCATGCATGGAATGAGTTGCCAGAGGAAGTGGTGGAGGTTGGCGCAATTACAACATTTAAAAGGCATCTGAATGGGTATGTGAATAGGAAGGGTTTAGAAAGATATGGGCCAAATGCTGGCAAATGGGACTAGTTCAGTTTAGGAAACTTGGTCAGCATGGATGAGTTGGACCGAAGGATGTTTCCGTGCTGTATGACTTTATGATTCTATTCTGCACTTTTATGATATGCTACGGTTCTGGATTAAAATTTGATGACATTATACAATGTCATCAGATGCGACAAACTTTCTATAAAATCTGATGCTTAATGAATGTTGTTTTTCTGCATGTGGGGCAATTACGTGGTTTAAAAAAATGATCTAGTTGTAGTCCCTTCCCAAGATGGGGTGATCACTCATTACAAAGGGAATTTTTGGATTTCTCCCAAAAATAAATCAACCTGCATTATAGCCCCACCATTGGCCAGGAGTTCTGTGTATGGATTGTTTATGCCAGGGTAAAACTTAATTTGCTACTTGGTTAGACTGCTCGAATTTTATGAATCATCTCATCCATTACTATGTGGTTTATTCCACACAATCTATTACCTAGGAACTCTGATTCACTATAGGCTGTGATGGTGGCTTCCTATGTTTGTTAAATACATCACATCTATTATTGATCTCTTCTACAGTTTTATTGTACACATTGGCCTGTGTTATTACCTCCTTTAGTAGGATTTTAATCAATTAGAAAATGGATGACAAACTGTTGTGCTATTTTAAGACAACTAATTATTTTTCCCCTTTAATTGCTAATGCCAATAACGTGCTTAATATTTTGATAGGTGAATCTGATAAGTAAGCTTGCGGATGACGCAATTATTAGCCAGGTAGTTTACAATGA